CCAAGTGATCCCACGCGAAGCCTGTAGCCTCCATGCGTGCGGAACCCTAAAACCCTAAAACCCTAAAACCCTAAAACCCTAAACCCCTAAAACCCTAAAACCCTAAAACCCTAAAACCCTAAACCCTAACCCTCAATCCCTAAACTCTTTCTCTGAAGCCCTGCAGTCCCAGACCTAATAACGATAATGACAGCAACTGGTGATCATGGTGATTAGGGTTTAGGGTTTAAGGTTTAGGGTTTAGGGTTTAGAAGCTCAGCAGTACTGACTGCGGAATCGCTGAAGCAACCAAAACAGTCATGGTTTAGGGTTGAGGGTTTAAGAGGGCAATGAAAACTTAGGGTTTAGAGGGCAATCAAAACAGTATGGCACTAGATATCGCAATGGTAATGAATATGACATTCGTAATACTACTGATGTCAATCCCCGTCCTTCATGGGCGGTGGCCGCGGACTGAAACTCAGCGAGTTGTAGATCGGATAGACGACGAACTCGTGGTTGAACCTCGGCCACCGTAAACCCTAAACCCTAAACCCTGGAGGAGCTCAAAGCTCAAGCTTACGGCTTCTCAGGCAGCTTTAAATTTCAAGACGGTGTAGGAATCACCCTTCACTCTAAATCCTGAAAGCTAAGTCGTTTTGAGGCTCACATCTCGGCTCACAGATTTGAAGCTGTGCTTGGTGCATGTCCTTCCCTTGTAACCCAAAAGCCCCAAACTAAAACCCAACCCCCCTCAAAATCCCCCGACTTGATGGACATTTAATTCGGTTCTCCACTTATCGAAACCAACGCCTGCTGTGAAAAAATCCCCTAAACCCACTACCCTACGTAGGCATCTGGGCTTAAACTGTCGAGTGGGGAGGGCTCTAGGTGCTGGGGGAAGACCTAGGCAGCCATGGGGCCCCCTAAAGCGCAGAATGTGGGAGCCTTCGTAATTAGAGTAAGGTTTTGGGCTCCTTTACTTATAGTATATTTATATATATATATATATATATAAGAGTAAGTATTGGAAATTATTTAGGCTGCTATATTAAGCAAAACATAGGACAGGGAATCCCAGATAAACCCCATGATGCTGAAGCCCAATACGGCAGGGATATGGGTCCCTAAAGTGATGTCTCAAACTGGTTGTCCACTTCATGTTCGCTGGTCCGACGCAGTTAAAACTCACGACCGGTTCAAACATCATAAGCTGAACCAAGTAGGGAGGGTCCCGAAGAAAAGGCATCATGTAGAACTCTCATACGATGCTTTTACAAAATTCTGCCCACCTCCTGATCGAGCACCTCCTACACTGCACAGGCCAGCCACAACTGAATTCAGGCCCCACCCTGCGGATCCTAAGCTTCTGACGCGACGACGAGCTGCTCCACTCCAGGCACCTTAGGGTTTATGGAGACAGAGAGTTAGCCTGGACCCCCAACTACCCTCTAAGCCTCTAAGCATTTGGGTAGTTCCCTGGATCTGGGTGCTTTTTCTCAGGGTGCCGCACTGTTTGGGACGTAATTTGGACAACGACCCATATACCCCCCTTTTCCCTAGACCCTAAACCCTGAACCCTAAACCCCAAACCCTGAACCCTAAACCCTGAACCCTAAACCCTGAACCCTAAACCCCGAACCCTAAACCCGAAATCCTAAACCCTGAACCCTAAACCCTGAACCCTA